GAGTGGGGCGGGGCTGGGACTAGATGAGCGTCCTGGCCCTCCTACTTGGTCCTACTTGCTTTAAGGTTATTTATTCCAAGGGAGGGTATCCCCAGTTGGTCTTCCTGCCACAATTCTGCCCCAGCCGCAGCCAGCCCAGGCCATGGTCATGCGTGTGTCCCGCATGCTCAGGGAGATCGTGGATGCACTCTAGGGCCTTCACTGTGCCAACCCCGACTGGCAGCCTGGCTGGCTGGTTGTTGCCCCGTTTGCTCTGGCTGAAGCCCCACATGACTTTCCCCTTTCATGAGTGTAGGAAGCTGGGCCCCCAGCATGGAGACTCAGCCCTAGGTCCCCAGCAGGTGGAGCTTCCCCCAGGCTGCCCGCTGCATGGCCCCTGCCCGGGCAGCCTGCAGGTAACCAATTATCGCCAGTGCTGTGGCCGTTGACCTGACCTTTGGCTGAGCAGGGATGATGTTTTTTGGGTCCCAAGGAGGAGAACTAGACTGGGGGGGTCGAGAGTCTGGCTCACCCTGAAGAACAGCATGCTCACAGTGGAAGGGGCTGGGGCAGTGAGCTGCTCATCCCTGGAGGGGGGCAAAGAGGCTTTGGCAAGAGCGATCCCTGCCCGTTCACTGAGATCCTCTAGTTCGACGACTCCCCGGGACTTGACACCCCGGATCACATAGTATGCGGGTGCAGGAGCTTATCCCCCGCTTGTCTCCCCTAGACCATCCCAGTGATCCTGGATGGCAAGGACGTGGTGGCCATGGCCCGGACAGGCAGCGGCAAGACAGCCTGCTTCCTCCTCCCCATGTTTGAGCGGCTCAAGACCCGCAGTGCCCAGACCGGGGCCCGCGCCCTCATCCTCTCACCCACCCGAGAGCTGGCCCTGCAGACCTTGAAGTTCACCAAGGAGGTGCGCCGGGGCTGAGGGACGGGGTGGGGCTGCGGGGACTGACTTGGGGCTGGGCAGGCTGCAAGTGAGTTGAGACGTTGCACCCTCACTCTTACTCTCTCAATCTGTCTCCACAGCTGGGCAAGTTCACTGGCCTCAAGACTGCCCTGATCCTGGGCGGGGACAAGTAAGCGCTCCTCACCCACAGTCACCAGCATGCGCGGATACCCCTGTCTCAAGAGCATTTGCATGATCGAGCCTGGGTTGCCTGCTAATAATTGCAGGTTGGGGGCCAGCAGGTGGCGAGGTGGTAAGGTGCTAGACTCCCACAGGCTGACTGCTGTTTGAGTCCCAGACCTGGTGGTTTGAAACTCATGCTGGGCGAGTGTTCACGCACGCCCAAAATCTAATACGCCAGGCAGATGCCAATACCTGTGGCAGGACCACTGTGTCACTTGCTGGCCCCATCGACGTCTCCTTCTTTATTCTTCTCTCAGGATGCTGCTGTTAGCCATCACTCTTGATTCTGAGAGCTTTGCTTTTTAGAGTTTTTGCTTGTATTGCAATTTATTATCTCCATCTGACAGTTTGTGACTGTCAGAAGGCTTAGTCTTCCCGGTATAGGCCTGGCCCAGGATTCTGACTCCTATGGGTTCCAGGTGTGTTTTGACACGCCTATGTTAGTGATTTGTGTCCAGATGTAAGGACAGGCTGGTAGAGATTCAAGGTCCAGTTCCGTGGCGCTGTAGGTTCAAGGCAGCTTTGTCGGTATCTGGAGCAGCGGAGGGAGATGGGTTCTGTGGTGGAGCCCATCTCTGGGGAACTCCTGGTATTTAATCGTTCTTTCAAATGTTTCCATTTGTATCTGCTGTCAAGGCAATGCCTCAGCAATAGCTTTCCTTCAGCCTTGGGTCTGTGTTCCTGGGGACGGGCTGTGGGAACTCACCTGGGCGTTTCGTTTTGGGAAAGGAGAGACTAAAGTGATTGTTCTGTCCAGCTGACCCCTCTTCTCCTCCCCAGGATGGAAGACCAGTTTGCAGCCCTCCATGAAAATCCCGACATGTGAGTTTGTGGATTGCGGAGGATGTCCCGGGGTCTCTTCCCAGGTGGCCTACAGCTGGGACTGAGAGGAGGGGTAGGGTGATAGCCCTGACCCTGGGGTGACCTGGCCTGTTCTTCCCCTTCCAGAATCATTGCGACTCCCGGGCGGTTGGTGCACGTGGCTGTGGAGATGAACCTGAAACTGCAGAGTGTGGAGTACGTGGTATTCGATGAAGCCGACAGGTAAGGCCGCAGGTACGCCTTGAGCACTTACGGCAGGGTCGACCCCAAGGCCAGGAAAGCCAGGAGGAAGCTCTGCCTGGAGAGAACTGGGTGGCCAGGATGAACACAGCTCCTCCTCACGGGTGGGTGCAGACCCCAAGCGCTTGGGCTCATCTCTGGGGCCCCGTGGCCATAAATTTGAAATTTTACACTTTAGGAGTCTTTGAAAAGAATAACGAAACAACTAATGTGATTTTCAAGAGTTTTTTTTTTTTAGAGAAATATTTGGTATAGGGTATGTGCACTCAGTGGAGAGACAGAGAGACAGTGAGAAATCACCCCCCAGGGAGGATGGCCATGCCACAATCCCTTCTCCTCTTGGGATTTTGGGCACACACACACATATGCCTGGCATGAGTTTTAAGCCACCAGGTCTGGGACTCGAACCGTGGTTGACTATATGGGAGTCCAGCAATGCAACCACTATGCCATCTGCTGCTCCTTGCAAGAGATTTTTTAAAAAGCACCATGTCGAGGGGCTGGCAGGTGGTGTTGTGGTTAAGGCGCTGGATTCCCACATGGTCAGTCATGGTTTAAGTCCTGGACTGGCGCCTTGCTTTCTCTTTCTCTCCCTCTCTCTCTGTCTCTGTCTCTCTCTCTCTGGTGAGCACGCATGTTCTGTAGCAAGCTGAAAAATAATAATCATAATAAATAAATAATTCTTGAACAAAACGCATCATATTAAGAGCCTGGATTTAGGAGCCAGACGTGGGGATGGGGTAGGGTGGGAGTGGGATCCAACCCCAGCTGTGCGGCTTCAGCTCTGTGAACCTGGGCAAATCACCAGGGGTCTCAGGGCCTCAACCACGTCAGCCTCCAAGTGAAGGAGTTAGCACACGCCTCACCGGTGAGGGCTGAAGTTCTTGCTACTTGTAAAGTAAAGTAGTTAGAGCCGCATCTGGCACAGCTCGAGGGCTGCTGTCACATAACCCAACACGGATTTCCTAGAAGCACACAGCCTGTAGACACAAGAGCCCAAGGTCATTGCTTAGAATGAGGCTGTGCAGGTGGCATGGTGGTTAAGGTGTGGACTCCCACGTGGCCGACTGCAGTTCAAGTCCCAGACTTGGCAGCTTACTTTCTCATTTTCCTTCTATTTATCTCTCTGTCTCTGGTCAAATTGAAAATAATAATAATAAATATAATTAAGTAAATAAAAATTGAGGCTGTGCCTTAAGGTGTGAGTGAGCTCGAGTACCCAGGCAGACTCCGGTACATGGGGCAGAAGTGGTAGGCACTGGCATGCCTGGGTTTGGGGCTCCAGCGTGGGAGGCCTAGCCTCACCGTCCCGCCCCTTCCCCGGCTCTCACCCGCCCAGGCTCTTTGAAATGGGGTTTGCGGAGCAGCTGCAGGAAATCCTCAGCCGCCTCCCTGGCGGCCACCAGACCGTGTTGTTCTCTGCCACGCTCCCCAAAATGCTGGTGGAGTTTGCCCGGGCAGGTGAGTGATGGGACAGGTGGGGCTGGAGCTCGGGGTGGGCCCCGGGTCTCTGCTCTCAGGGAGTCCACCGACCTCCCCCGTGTACCCTGCAGGCCTCACAGAGCCCGTGCTCATCCGACTGGACGTGGACTCCAAGCTCAACGAGCAGCTCAAGGTGAGACTGCGGCGGCCCCATTGCCAGGCTGGTGGGTCCAGGTGGGCCCTGCAGGCCCCCGTGAGGTGAGCCAGCCCCGTGGCCCTCTCCCTGCAGACCTCCTTCTTCCTCGTGCGTGAGGACACCAAGGCGGCCGTGTTGCTCTACTTGCTGCGCAGCGTCGTGCGGCCCCAGGACCAGACGGTGGTGTTTGTGGCCACGAAACACCACGCGGAGTACCTCAGTGAGGTGAGCAAGGCCCTGATGGGACCCTGGGCTGGGGAAGACCCACTGCCATTCCTACTCCTGGGGACCTTCCTCTAGAGCTTAGAGCTGAAGTTCCAGGCATGACCACCAGAGGGAAGCATCAGAGCAGAGCAGGGGCCAAGGCTCAGGACTTTTCTTTTCAACTTTTTATGATGACCAGTTTCAAACCCTTCAGAAAACAGTGTAATGAACGCCCATGTAGTTGTCATCAAAGTACAGCTGTTACCAACTCATGGCCATCGTGATCCAGCTGTGTTTTATTTTCAATTTGCTACAGGACATGCATTCTCACCAGAGAGAGACAGAGAGAGAGAGAATGAAAAAGCAAGCTGCCAGGTCCAGGACTCGAACCGTGGTTGGCCATATGGGAGTCTAGTGCCCTATGGGAGTCCATGCTACCTATCGGCCCCATCCACGTTATTTCAAAGTGAATCCTAGCCACCCTGTCCTTTTTCTGTCAATTTTAATGTTCAGTGTGTTTAGCTTTTTAAAATCGAAGCCTAGGGGCCGGCAGGTAGCATGGTGGTTGAGGCTCTGGGCATCCATATGGCCGGCCATGGTTCAAATCCCGGACTTAGCAGCTTGCTTTCTCACTTTCCCCCTCTCTCTGTATCTCTCTCTGGTTAAAGTCAAATAAACAAATAAGTACAATTAAATCATTAATAATTTTTTTTAAATGAAGCATAGCCCGCATGCAGTGGGCTGTGTACTCTGCTCTGCCTTGTGTGGGCAGCTTGGCAGGTTATTTCCAGTGTGACCCTCAGCCAGATCACAGCACGGCTGGGAGCCTGGTGGAGGGCAGCAGCCCTGCCCAGCCTGCTCCTCCCACCATGGCCAGCCCCACTGGGGTCTGCCATCTGAGGACATGGTTCCTCTGAGTTTCACTTACATTTAACAGTGTTCCTCTGCAACTGCTGGGCCACCAGTGAATCAGACCAAGTAGTAATGAAAGAACAGTTCGGGACCAGCAGTTGGCGTAATGGCTATGTCGCTGGACTCCCATGTAGTCGACCGCGGTTCGAGTCCCAGACCTGGTGGCTTAAACTCACGCCGGGCACATGTGCGTGCGTGCCCAAGATCCCGAGAGGAGAATGGAGGAGAAGGGATTGCGGCGTGGCCATCCCCCCTGGGGGGTGATGTCTCGCTTTCTGTCTCTCTCTCTGTCTCTGTCTGGCGAGCACACGCCCCATAGCAAAAACCTCAAAAAAGAATAAAAAGGACAGTTCATCGGGCCAGCAGGTGGCATGGTGGTTAAGGCACTGGACTCCCATCTGGTTGACCATGGTTTGAGTTCCAGACCTGGTGGGACTTGGTGGCTTGGAACTCAACACCGGGCACGTGTCCTTGCATGCCTAAGATCCGGAGAGGAGAGTGGAGGAGAAGAAATTGCAGCATGACCAGACTCCCCTAGGGGATGGCTTTTCACTTTCTCTGTCTCTCTCTCTCTCTCTATTTCCGGTGAGCACATGCCGTGTAGCAAAAACCTAAAAACAAACAAGAAGGAACAGTTCACTCATGGCGTTTGTCATGTCGTGGGCTCTGCCCTCAGCACCGTGGGTGGAACTCGCTCATTCTCCATAACATTACCCGTGGAGGAGGAGCAGTTATTTCCCCCATTCTCCCAACAAGGAAAGCAGAGCACAGAGAGGTTCAGCAACTTGCCCAAGGTCACACAGCTTGTTAGCGACAGACTCAAGGAGAGGCCAGGGCCCTGGGGTGGGACTTGGAGCTCCCCCGGGGCGACCTCGACAGGCGTTGTCTCTGCAGATGCTCAGACAGCCCCGCAGAGGTGGGAGGTGGTACCTACCTCGTTTACTCTGCTGAGGATGCCCAGCCGGGGTCGCCCACCACGACCCGTCCCCATCTCACCCGCCTCCCGTCCTGGCAGCTGCTGACCAGCCAGCGCGTGAGCTGCGCACACATCTACAGTGCCCTGGACCAGACGGCCCGCAAGATCAACCTGGCCAAGTTCGCCCACGGCAAGTGCTCCGCCCTCATCGTGACCGACCTGGCTGCCCGGGGCCTGGACATCCCCCTGCTGGACAACGTCATCAACTACAGCTTCCCTGCCAAGAGCAAGCTCTTCCTGCACCGCGTGGGTGAGGAGCCGGGCTGGGGCGGGGGGGACAGGATGGACCGAGGCCCTGGGTGTGGGCTCTGGGCGGTGTTCCCAGACGGGACCCCAGTGGGCATCCCCAGGGCTCTGGGGAGGTGAGTCTCCACTCTGGGCTCCCAGCCTTGGGCTTTCCTTGCTGCAGTACTTGACGATGGGGTCCCTTAGCCACCTCCCCACCCCTAAAGTCCCTGAAGCTGTTCCTAGCTTCTCTGCTGGGTCCTTGGGGAACCCCAGTACTGCACCAGTCCCGTGCCTCCTCCATCAGCTCCCGACAGGATCTCCGGGTTCGGAATCAGGTGTTGGAACCCCCTTCCCCTTGGCCTTCCCAGGCCAGCTCACCTGGTTAATGTCTATTACAAGAGTAAAAACACTCCACACAGGTGGCTTGGGCTGCCGTAACAGTGCGCCACAAGCCAGGTGGCTTCAGTGACAAACGTATCATCTCAGTTCTGGAGACCCAAGCCCACGATCAAGGTGTCGGCAGGGCTGGCTCTGCCTGAGGCCACAGCGAAGGATCTGCTGCAGGCCTCTCTCCTGACCTCTAGGGTTGCCGGCAGGCTTCGGAGCACCTTGGCTTCTAGAAGCATCACCCCGATCTCTGCCTTCACCTTGCATGACGTTCTGCGTGTTTGTCTCCAGAGTCTTTTGGAAGGACAGTGGTCCGATTTAACTGGGAGCCCAACCCCCTCTAGTAGGACCTGGTTTTGCTACAGGGCACATGCGCTCACCGGAGAGAGAAGGAGAAATCACCTCCCGGGGGGTGCCACACCGCTCTCTTCTTGAGATTTTGCACGCACATGCACCCGCCACGTTGTTCACGCCATTGAGTCTGGACCACTCAGCTCTGTGAGATCCAGCTGTTTTAACCACCATGCCACCTGCCGGCCTTATGACGCATTTTATTTTTTTTAAGGTTTTTGCCATAGGTGGGGTGCACTTGCTATAGCGAGATAGAAGGTGAGAAATCCCCCACGGGCATGGCCATGCCACAGTCCCTTCTCCATTCTCCTCCTAGGATTTTGGTCACAGATGCACACATGCCCGGCATGATTTGCAACCTGCCGGGTCCAGGACTTGAACTGTGGTCAGCCACGTGGGAGTCTAGCACCTTAACCACCACACGCCTGCTAGCCCCTGCAGTACATTTTTACCTTAAGCTATTTTGGACTTCGGATGGGTTTATTGCAGGTAGCCCCATCGTCAGACAAGGAGCACTTGTGTCCTCGGGCTGTCGGGTGGGGAGCGAGGGCCCTGGGAGAAGTAGCCCCCTGTGTCCGCAGAGCAGGAGTCTCACGCCAAGTTCGCCCACGGCAAGTGCTCCGCCCTCATCGTGACCGACCTGGCTGCCCGGGGCCTGGACATCCCCCTGCTGGACAACGTCATCAACTACAGCTTCCCTGCCAAGAGCAAGCTCTTCCTGCACCGCGTGGGTGAGGAGCCGGGCTGGGGCGGGGGGGACAGGATGGACCGAGGCCCTGGGTGTGGGCTCTGGGCGGTGTTCCCAGACGGGACCCCAGTGGGCATCCCCAGGGCTCTGGGGAGGTGAGTCTCCACTCTGGGCTCCCAGCCTTGGGCTTTCCTTGCTGCAGTACTTGACGATGGGGTCCCTTAGCCACCTCCCCACCCCTAAAGTCCCTGAAGCTGTTCCTAGCTTCTCTGCTGGGTCCTTGGGGAACCCCAGTACTGCACCAGTCCCGTGCCTCCTCCATCAGCTCCCGACAGGATCTCCGGGTTCGGAATCAGGTGTTGGAACCCCCTTCCCCTTGGCCTTCCCAGGCCAGCTCACCTGGTTAATGTCTATTACAAGAGTAAAAACACTCCACACAGGTGGCTTGGGCTGCCGTAACAGTGCGCCACAAGCCAGGTGGCTTCAGTGACAAACGTATCATCTCAGTTCTGGAGACCCAAGCCCACGATCAAGGTGTCGGCAGGGCTGGCTCTGCCTGAGGCCACAGCGAAGGATCTGCTGCAGGCCTCTCTCCTGACCTCTAGGGTTGCCGGCAGGCTTCGGAGCACCTTGGCTTCTAGAAGCATCACCCCGATCTCTGCCTTCACCTTGCATGACGTTCTGCGTGTTTGTCTCCAGAGTCTTTTGGAAGGACAGTGGTCCGATTTAACTGGGAGCCCAACCCCCTCTAGTAGGACCTGGTTTTGCTACAGGGCACATGCGCTCACCGGAGAGAGAAGGAGAAATCACCTCCCGGGGGGTGCCACACCGCTCTCTTCTTGAGATTTTGCACGCACATGCACCCGCCACGTTGTTCACGCCATTGAGTCTGGACCACTCAGCTCTGTGAGATCCAGCTGTTTTAACCACCATGCCACCTGCCGGCCTTATGACGCATTTTATTTTTTTTAAGGTTTTTGCCATAGGTGGGGTGCACTTGCTATAGCGAGATAGAAGGTGAGAAATCCCCCACGGGCATGGCCATGCCACAGTCCCTTCTCCATTCTCCTCCTAGGATTTTGGTCACAGATGCACACATGCCCGGCATGATTTGCAACCTGCCGGGTCCAGGACTTGAACTGTGGTCAGCCACGTGGGAGTCTAGCACCTTAACCACCACACGCCTGCTAGCCCCTGCAGTACATTTTTACCTTAAGCTATTTTGGACTTCGGATGGGTTTATTGCAGGTAGCCCCATCGTCAGACAAGGAGCACTTGTGTCCTCGGGCTGTCGGGTGGGGAGCGAGGGCCCTGGGAGAAGTAGCCCCCTGTGTCCGCAGAGCAGGAGTCTCACTCTCGCCCTGCAGTGAGGATGCATGGGCGTCACCCACCTGGGCCTGGGGCGTGTGTACCCTGGTTTCCAGTGCTCTATGGCAGAATGGTTTTGCATGTCCCCAAAGGGTCCTCGGTTTCTCTGTGCCACACGCCCAGCAGGGTAACCGTCATGCCCCCAGATAAGGTCTCCAGATGAGAGACTTTGTTTTCCCACGATATAGAGGCAGGCCAGAACGTAATGTCACGGCAGGGTTTGCTTAACCCCACGTCAGTCACAGCGGGCGTTCTGTCCTGCCGTCCTCTGCGTTTTGTTTCCATCACTACGTGGGGAGTGGTTCTGCCCACAATTAAATGCCATCCTGTGACAGAGGACGGCACACTTTTTCCGTAAACAACCAGGTGTCAAGTGTCTGAGGCTTGGCCAGTGTACCGTCTGTCATCTCTACTGTCCCTGCTGTTTAGCGGCTAGAGGGTGCATGTGCTGCTCAAAGAGAGAAACAGAGACAGAGACACCCTCCCCCAGGGGGATGGCCACACCACAGTCCCTTTTCCTCCGTTCTCCTCCCCAGATCTTGGGCACACACACATACTCAGGCTGAGTTTCAAGCTGCCAGATCTGGGACTCGAACTACGGTCGGCCATGTGGGAATCCAGCCATGTAACCACCACGCCACCTGCTGGCCGCCCAATGAAGCTTTATTTACACACACGGGCAGGAGGCCGGCTTGGTGTCACAGGCCATGGCTTGCCAGCTCTGCCCTTTTCTTGAACTGTTTCATTCTCGCCTCGTGGTCATCCAGGCAGCTAATTGTCTTCACCCGTCCTCTGGTCTCGAACCCGGAGTGGTTTCCAGCATCCGGCTGTTTGGATCAGAGCTGCCCTAAACACCTCTGTGTGTGTCTTTGCATCCCTGGCTCTTTTCTTTGGAGGAACTTCCCCAGTGTGGACGCTGGACACGTAACACACAGGGCCGTGTGGCTATGTGTCTGTCCCCGCCAGCTCCCAGGGCACTGGGGTGGCTCGCGTGATCTCGTGCGGGAATTGAGTGTCCCCAGCTCACTGAGGTGCAGGGTCTCAGCATGGCGCACACCCTCAGGGCCTGGGGTTGGGGTCTCTTTCCTCTGCTTCAGCCTGACGGTCTCCTCTCTGCAGGCCGCGTGGCCCGTGCTGGTCGAAGTGGCACCGCCTACTCCCTGGTGGCCCCTGACGAGCTCCCCTACTTGCTGGACCTACACCTCTTCCTGGGCCGCTCCCTCTCCCTCGCCCGTCCCCACGAGGAGCCCTCAGGTGAGTGGGGGTGTGGGGTCACCTGCAGAGGTCATGGTTCAGGCAGGGGTGCAATTCCAGCTGGCTCTGCCTTACCCTGCCTTGCCCTGCCCTGGGATGAGCTAGGATGGGTTTTGACCCTAGGAGAAGACCCCTACAATTTTTTTTTTTTTTTTTTGAGAGAGAGATTTTTGCTATAGGGCACGTACACTCGCTGGACAGACAGAGACAGAGAAACGGGAAGCAAGAAATCACCCCCAGGGGGGTGGCCACGCTGCAATCCCTTCTCCTCTCGGGATTTGGGGCATGCAGCACACACGCCCAGTGTGGGTTTTAAACTGCCCAGTTTGGGACTTGCATCGCAGTCGGGGCCCCTGTATTTTAAACTCGGGATTTCACATCACAGTCCAGACTGCTGGCCCCTGTAGAAATGGCCGGAGCCGCCTTCTCCTGGGCTTACCGTCAGCCCGCCCTGATAGGTGGGCTCCTTGGTTCACCACAGCCCCACTGCTTGCTTCTCCTGTCTACACAGCCTGCCAGCCCTCGCAGGAGTCCGACAAATAAAGTTAAATAAAATGAAATAGCTCTTTAAAAAAAGGTGTTTTTTTTTTTTCTTTTTTAGAATTTTTTTTTTTATTATTCATTTAATATTTGACCAGAGAGAGAGAGGAAAGTGAGAAAGTGAGCTGCCAGGTCTGGGACTGGAACCACAGTCATTCCCCCGATATAGAGGCAGGCCAGAACGTAATGTCACGGCAGGGTTTGCTTAACCCCACGTCAGTCACAGCGGGCGTTCTGTCCTGCCGTCCTCTGCGTTTTGTTTCCATCACTACGTGGGGAGTGGTTCTGCCCACAATTAAATGCCATCCTGTGACAGAGGACGGCACACTTTTTCCGTAAACAACCAGGTGTCAAGTGTCTGAGGCTTGGCCAGTGTACCGTCTGTCATCTCTACTGTCCCTGCTGTTTAGCGGCTAGAGGGTGCATGTGCTGCTCAAAGAGAGAAACAGAGACAGAGACACCCTCCCCCAGGGGGATGGCCACACCACAGTCCCTTTTCCTCCGTTCTCCTCCCCAGATCTTGGGCACACACACATACTCAGGCTGAGTTTCAAGCTGCCAGATCTGGGACTCGAACTACGGTCGGCCATGTGGGAATCCAGCCATGTAACCACCACGCCACCTGCTGGCCGCCCAATGAAGCTTTATTTACACACACGGGCAGGAGGCCGGCTTGGTGTCACAGGCCATGGCTTGCCAGCTCTGCCCTTTTCTTGAACTGTTTCATTCTCGCCTCGTGGTCATCCAGGCAGCTAATTGTCTTCACCCGTCCTCTGGTCTCGAACCCGGAGTGGTTTCCAGCATCCGGCTGTTTGGATCAGAGCTGCCCTAAACACCTCTGTGTGTGTCTTTGCATCCCTGGCTCTTTTCTTTGGAGGAACTTCCCCAGTGTGGACGCTGGACACGTAACACACAGGGCCGTGTGGCTATGTGTCTGTCCCCGCCAGCTCCCAGGGCACTGGGGTGGCTCGCGTGATCTCGTGCGGGAATTGAGTGTCCCCAGCTCACTGAGGTGCAGGGTCTCAGCATGGCGCACACCCTCAGGGCCTGGGGTTGGGGTCTCTTTCCTCTGCTTCAGCCTGACGGTCTCCTCTCTGCAGGCCGCGTGGCCCGTGCTGGTCGAAGTGGCACCGCCTACTCCCTGGTGGCCCCTGACGAGCTCCCCTACTTGCTGGACCTACACCTCTTCCTGGGCCGCTCCCTCTCCCTCGCCCGTCCCCACGAGGAGCCCTCAGGTGAGTGGGGGTGTGGGGTCACCTGCAGAGGTCATGGTTCAGGCAGGGGTGCAATTCCAGCTGGCTCTGCCTTACCCTGCCTTGCCCTGCCCTGGGATGAGCTAGGATGGGTTTTGACCCTAGGAGAAGACCCCTACAATTTTTTTTTTTTTTTTTGAGAGAGAGATTTTTGCTATAGGGCACGTACACTCGCTGGACAGACAGAGACAGAGAAACGGGAAGCAAGAAATCACCCCCAGGGGGGTGGCCACGCTGCAATCCCTTCTCCTCTCGGGATTTGGGGCATGCAGCACACACGCCCAGTGTGGGTTTTAAACTGCCCAGTTTGGGACTTGCATCGCAGTCGGGGCCCCTGTATTTTAAACTCGGGATTTCACATCACAGTCCAGACTGCTGGCCCCTGTAGAAATGGCCGGAGCCGCCTTCTCCTGGGCTTACCGTCAGCCCGCCCTGATAGGTGGGCTCCTTGGTTCACCACAGCCCCACTGCTTGCTTCTCCTGTCTACACAGCCTGCCAGCCCTCGCAGGAGTCCGACAAATAAAGTTAAATAAAATGAAATAGCTCTTTAAAAAAAGGTGTTTTTTTTTTTTCTTTTTTAGAATTTTTTTTTTTATTATTCATTTAATATTTGATCAGAGAGAGAGAGGAAAGTGAGAAAGTGAGCTGCCAGGTCTGGGACTGGAACCACAGTCAGCCATGTGGGAGTGCAATACCCTTAACTACCACACCACCTGCTGGTCTCCCCCGCCCCCCCAATTTTTCTTAACGAGCCAGATTGTACAAACTTTGGACTCGCAGGCCGTACAGCCCACGGCCTCGCAGTGCGTAAGCAGTGGACGACCAAGGAGGGGGGTCTCCTGACAGGACTGCCTTCACAGAGCCCGGTGGCGGCCCCAGAGGCAGCGTTGCCCAGTCTGCTGCGTTCAGGGCCTGATGGGAGCAGCTGCCCACCGAGGGCTGGCTGCCCCACCCTGGTGCACTGGCAGCTGTTCTCCTGTGATCCAGGAGCAGAGCCATGGGCAGCAGGCCAGTTGGGAAGGCCTCTGCCTGACTCCATGTGGGGTAGCAGGTGCTGTCACTGCGGACGGCGTGCTGGGCCGGGTGCCGCAGAGCGTGGTGGACGACGAGGACAGCAGCCTGCAGAACACCCTGGAGGCCTCGATGGAGCTGCGGGGCCTGGGCCGCGTGGCCGACAACGCCCAGCAGCAGTACATGCGCTCGCGGCCCGCGCCCTCGCCCGAGTCCATCAAGAGGGCCAAGGAGCTGGACCTGGCGGGGCTGGGCCTGCACCCCCTCTTCAGTGAGTCCCTGTGCAGGGCAGGGGGGTGGTGGGGCAGCAGGGGAGCACTGCAGACTAGACTGACGTCACGCCTCCCTGCCTGGCAGGCTCACGCTTCGAGGAGAAGGAGCTGCAGCGGCTGAGGCTGGTGGACGGCATCAGGAACTACCACTCGCGGGCGGTGAGTGAGAGCCCAGAGACGGCAGCTCGTGGCCTCAGGCCACACAGCAGCAGCCCGGGTGCTGGGACTCAGACTGTACTCCTGCCTCCGTCAGCTCCTATGGACTACCCTGTTCTAGGACCGCCTCTGCTGGTCCTGGGCCGTTCCCCCCAGGCCCAGAGGGAGTGATGTGCCCCCGGCCTGCAGGGTCCTGAGAGTCAGCTCTCTGGGGCCCTCCTGGTAACTCTCACTGGGCACTTCATCTTGTGCGTGTGGAAGGGGGCACGAAGGCAGGGAGTGGGCCAGCTGCAGCCAGCGAGGGACGAAAGAGCTAGAGGGCATCGTGGCTAAAAACACTGGTTTCGGGACCACACGAACCGGGGTTGAAATCCAAGCTCTGGCTCTTCCCAGCCGTCTGACCTGGGGCCAGTTACTCGGCCTCCCTTTATTTATTTAGATTTTTTTGTTTTGGAGAGAGATTTTTGCTATAGGGCATGTGTACTCACTGGAGAGGCAGAAAGACAGAGTGAGAAATCACCCCCCTGCCCCGGAGGGATGGCCATGCTGCAATCCCTTCGCCTTTGGGATTCTGGGCACGCCCGCACACGTGCCCAGCGTGAATTTCATACTGCTGGATCTGGGATTCAAACCATGGCTGGCCATGTGGGAGCTTAGCACCTTACCCACTACGCCACCTGCTGGCCCCGGCCTCCCTTTCTAATTGTTAAGTGCAGGTAAAACAAGTACCCACCTCATCCAGTGAGGACAGCTTGGGGAAAGGCCCAGCGAGAGCCCACCAGGCTGGCGAGGGTGCTGGGGCACAGGAGGCTGGTAGGTAAAGGACATGGGCATCCTCTCCACAGACCATCTTTGAGATCAACTCCTCCAGCCGGGACTTGAGCAGCCAGGTAATGCGCGCCAAGAGGCAGAAGCACCACAAGGCCATCGCCAGCTTCCAGCAGGGGCGGCAGGGGCGACCAGGGGCTCCCGCCGGTCCAGTCCTGAGCTGTCAAGTGCTGCAGGAGGGAGAGCCTGAAGTGGCCAAGGAAGACATAGAGGAGAATGTAGAGGTACAGCCCTTCCTTGGGGACCCTGGGCTGGACGTGGGGCTGATAGAAAGCGAGAAATCACCCCCCCAGAGGGAATGGCCACACTGCAATCCCTTTTCCTCTATTCTCCTCTCGGGATCTTGGGCATGCACGCACATGTGCCCAGCATCAGTTTAAGCCACTGGGTCCGGTACTCAAACCACGGTCGACTACGTGGTAGTCCAGCGACATAGCCATTATGCCAACTGCTAGTCCCCTCTGCTGGTCTTTGAGGCAGGGCTTTTGCTGCACATGCAGATGAAACTGAGGCTGCCACGGGAAACCTGGCTGCCTGGCTAATAAACAGAGCCAGGCTTTTGAAAGTCCCCTGGAAGCCCCTGGCCCCTCACCTCTGGGTGGGCTGCTGGGGCCAGTGGGGGCGGAGGCATGACGCTGGGCCTTTGGCTTCTAGGATGTCTTTGCAGAGGTCGTGGGCCAGAAGCGCCGGCGGCCAGGCCCTGACAGGGGAGCCAAGAGACGGAGGGAAGAGGCCCGGCAACGGGACCAGGACTTCTTCGTCCCCTACCGGCCCAAAGACTTTGACAGCGAGCGGGGGTGAGTGTTGCCCGGGTCCCAGGCTGGGAGACAGTGGGGCCTGCAGGGCCTCCCGCCCATCTGGTGTATCTCCCCACTCTCTCCCCCTGCAGCCTGAGCGTCGGTGCAGACCTGGGGGCCTTTGAGCAGCAGGCAGCTGGCGCTGTCCTCGACCTCATGGGGGACGAAGCCCAGAACCTGACCAGGGGCCGACAGCAGCTCAAGTGGTAAGTGGCTGGCGACAAGCAGGCCCCTCCAGCAGTCTGGCTGCCGCAGTGCCACCCTGACCTTCGTCCTGCCTCCCGTTTGATCCTGGCAGCCCTTTATGACCCCGTCTGTCCCCCTAGGTGGTCCCTTGCAGCAGGGAGGGTGATCCCTGTCTGTCTTGTCACTTGATATGCGCACTCATGACAGGGACCTGACCCATCTGTCCCTTTAGCCTCAGGTCTTTCTAGAAAGGGCTCATGACCTATTTGCTCATCAGGACTCAAGAGTCCAGACAAGTGACATGATGGCCCAGGGTCAAAGAGCCAGCTGGTGTCAGAAACCCTCCCAGAAGGCTCCTCTCCTGACTCAGGGCCCCCAGGCCCCATTGCTGGTCCATCCCTGACCCCCATGCTCCCTGTTGAGACCTGGGCTGCCAGGATCCGGGGAGGAGGGACGGGTGGGCCTTTACTGAGCACCCACAGCATGCCGGGCCAGCTGCATGGCTCTCCTTCAGTCCTCCAGCAACTGAGGAGGGGGTCAGTCAGGCGAGGGAACAGGCCACCCCAGCCACCTCCCTCCATGGCAACCCTCTCAACCCCTTCTCCCACAGGGACCGGAAGAAGAAGCGGTTTGTGGGACAGTCAGGGCAGGAGGACAAAAAGAAGATCAAGACAGAGAGCGGCCGCTACATCAGCAGCTCC